CATGTTGGAGAAGGGAAGGAGAGGAGGCTGAGGGAAGGCTGGGGCCAGGCTATCAAAAGCATTTTCTACTATGTTAAGATGCGTAGCATTTATTGTGGGCATTGGGTGGTCGAGAAGGGGTTTGTTTGCTAGCTTGTTTGAAAAGAAGATGGGCATCATCAGTTTTTTTCACAGGATCACGGTGGGGGTGGTAAGGAAAAGAGACTGACCTGAAGAAAGATAAGGGCTGTGGGCAAGGAGTCCAGTCAGAAGAGGAGTGATAATGATAGGGATCGAAGCAGTGTCCCTCCCTGTCCCTCCCCTTCCCATGTAGGGAGCTTGTTGTCCCTGCCTCACAGTCGTGCCCTGTGGAACTGTGTGGGGACTAGAGACAACAGAGCCAAGGTGCCTCTGCATGGCTCATGATCAGTGAATAAGAGCTATTCTTATTATTTGAGACCTAGGGAAGCCAGCAGGAGAGGAAGAGCCTTGAAGTAAAAAGAAAGAGAAATGGCCGGGCTCAGCCTGTAATCCACACTTTGGGAGGCTGAGGTGAGTGGACTGCCTGAGTCCGCGGGTTCGAGACCCACCTGGGCAACTTGGCGAGACCTCATCTCTACAATAAGTCAAAAACTAGCCGGGCGTGGTAGCGCATGCCTGTAGTTCCAGCTACTCGGAAGGCTGAGGCAGAAGGATCGCTGGAGCCCAGCAGGTCAAGGCTGCGGTGGCCGGGAGCAGTCACTGCACTCCAGTCTGGGCGACAGAGTGAGACTCCAACTCAAAAAAAAAAAAAGAAAGAAAGAAAGAAAAAGAGAAATGATCCTGCTGGGGAAAAACAGCAAATATGTGCTAATCAAAGCTTCAGGGTCCACCACTGTGGTCCTGAGGCAAGTCCCAGGCATACAACAGCTGCCTTCTTGACTTAGGCTCTCTGAGTGACTGCTTACCTTACACTAGACTCTCAACAGTCTAGACATAAGGAAAAGCCCAGAAAAAGACCCAAGAACATATAATTGTCTAGTACAAGGTAAAAGTGGCATTTCTTTTACATGATGGCAGGATACATTTATCAATGAATGCAGCTGTGGCAATAGGTTATCTATACAGGGAAAATGAAATTAGATCTCTATCTTTCACCATACACTTAAATAAATTACAGCTAGATTAGAGTTAAATGGAAAAACTGAAGCTAAAGCGGAATAGAAGAAATAAAAGTTGCATGTTTCTTAGACAGGGACTTTCTAAGCCTAAAGCAAAGAAAAACACAAAAAATATTTTAAAACATTTCAAAGGAAGGACAGTTTTAAGTTTATAAAATATTTATGTCAGAAATTACCATAATAAAAATAAAAGCAGTTGATAAACTGGAAAAATGTGGACTGTATACGTCAGAAAAGTTAATAACCTTTTTACATGAAGATTTGTACAGGGATAAGAAAAAATTAAAAGCTTAATGGAAAAAAATAAAAAATAGCTAACATTCACAGAACACTTACTATGGGCCAAGCACTGTGCTACATGCTAGAAATGTATGACTGCATGTAAATCTCACAACCGTATGAAGTAGGTACTATGATTATCCCCATTTCCTAGATGAGAAAACTGAGGTTTAGGATAAGTTACTTGCTAAAAATCACATCACTATAAAATAGCAGCCCTGGAACTCTGGAACCTGCCTGACTCCAAAGCCTGTTCTATTAATTGTACTATGAGTCAAATTTAAAAAAAAAAACTATAAATAGTCATTATTTTATGTATATAATTCTGTAGAACATATATGTATTCTCTAAATGATGAACATATTTATATACATGTATTAATAGGCCATTACAATTTTTCCTATCAAATTTAACAAAGATTTCTAAATGACAAAATTCAGTGTTGGGAAAGGTTCCAAAAAGTGGCATTCATTCCACCTCTGCAGGGCATGCCATCAGGAACAATCTTTCTTGAGAGTAATTTGGAAAGATTTCACAAGAGCCAATGGAGAGAGTCCCGCCCTTGTTGGGGACATGTCCTCCAGATCTACTCTCTCCCCCTCCACCTCGCCCTCTGCCCTAGGAGTGGACCCTGACAGGGCTCTTCAGCAGAGGCAGGGGAAGTGAGAACACTGGGGGAGATGAGAGGAGGCAGGCATTCATTATCCTGGTCTCCCCACTTTCAGGCCACCTCGCTATACCACTCTCTCCCTGCAGCCTCCTCTCATTGTGCCTCTCACCTCCGGGTCTAGCAGTTGTGAGCACTCAGCTGCTGCTAACCCTGGGTTCCTTGGCAGTTGCCATATACCCTGCTCAGACCTTTGCAAATGCATTGCTTTATAAAGATACAATTATCTATCTATCTATCTATCTATCTATCTATCTATCTATTTTTAAGTCAAGGTGTCCCTCTGTTGTCCAGGCTGGAGTGCAGTGGCATACTCACCATAGCCTCAAACTCCCAGGCTCAAGCAATCCTCCCGCCTCAGCCTCCCAAGTAGCTGGGACTGCAGGCACACATGACCATGTTTGGCTAATTTTTAACGACACGATCTTTTTAAAAACAATTTATTTATGTATCTTTATCTTAAAGATGTGGGGTACAGTTCAGGGTTAGGTACCTAAGTGGTGATCATACAGGTGAAGTTTGGGCCTCCCCCTTGTCCTCACTTCACCTGGTTTGGGATTAGGTACCCTTACAGTGTCATGTCTCCCCTACTCCCTTGGCAGTGACCCGCTACTGCCGATCCCTTTCCTGTAGTTTTATAATAAATGTTCAGAGTTCACTGATGAGTGAGAACATGTGGTACTCATTTCTCTGATTCTGCGATAGACCTCTGAGTATAATGGACTCTAAGTCCAGCCAAGTTGCTATGAATAAAGACACAACCTTAATCTGACTGTGTCTTCTGTTTCTGAGTGGGATACTGACTGATATCTTGTGACCTATCATTTTTATTCTAGCAATTTATCCTTAGGAAACAACCAGGAAGGTGCAAAAAAGTTTAAGGATATATGTGGCAGCTATATTGTAGGGACTAGTTTTAGAAACTAAAAACAACCTGAATATTCAACAGTAAGGAACTGGTTTAATACATCTGATGACCCACATGATGAAATGCTATGTAGCTGTTAAAAACCAGGTTATGGCCATTACTTTGTTAAATTCTGGTGTGTTCACGTGACTCTTTGAGCTATGGCTGCCATGTTTCCTGGCTTTGACCCACTCCTCTACCTTGGGGAGGTGAATCTCCTCTCTTTCTACAATTTATTTTCTAATTAAAGTATATTTTCTAATCTAAAAAATAAAAGGTTAGCCGGGCTCGGTGGCTCAGCCTGTAATCTCGCGCCTTTGGGAGGCTGTGGAGAGTGGATTGCCTGAGCCCGCGGGTTCAAGACCCACCTGGGCAGGCAAGACCTCATCTCTACAATAAATCAAAAAATTAGCCGGGCGTGGTAGTGCGTGCCTGTAATTCCAGCTCGGAAGGCTGAGGCGGAAGGATTGCCGGAGCCCAGCAGGTCGAGGCTGTGGTGGCCAGGAGCGGCCACTGCACTCCAGTCTGGGCGACAGAGTAAGACTCCAACTCAAAAATAATAATAATAATAATAATAAATTTTAAAAAAAGGTTATAAGTGGATATTTAATGATGTGGAAATACACTTATGAAATATTTAGAGTGAGCCGGGCTCGGTGGCTCAGCCTGTAATCCCACGCCTTTGAGAGGCTAAGGTGAATGGATTGCCTGAGCCCGTGGGTTCGAGACCCGCCTGGGCGGCGAGACCTCATCTCTACAATAAACCAAAAAATCAGCTGGGCGTGGTAGCGCATGCCTGTAATTCCGGCTACTTGGAAGGCTGAGGCGAAAGGATTGCCGGAGCCCAGCAGGCGAGGCTGCAGTGGCCGGGAGCGGCCACTGCACTCCAGTCTGGGCGACAGAGTGAGACTCCAACTCAAAAAAAAAGAGAAATATTTAGAGTGAAAACAAAATGTCTCCTACAATTCCAATTTTGCATATGAGTGATTAGAAGGATGCATCCCAAACTACTAATAGCAATTATCTTTTAGTTGTCAGATTATGAATAGTTTCAATTTTCCTCTTTGATTTGTTTTAATATTTCTCAGATTTTCTACATTGCTAATGTATTCTTTTTGTAATTAGAGAATATAAATACTATATATTTTTAAAAAGAAAACTATAGTTAAATTCTGTAACACCTCACCTCCATGTGCATGCACACATACACACACACCAACTCCGCAGTCCAACATTTAGAAATGGGACCCTGCTAGCCAAGACCACTTGGACAGCTGCTGTGCCTAACGGCGTTGTGAGCATGTTCTGTTGCATCTGCATCAGCATCAGCCCCATAACTGTGTGCATTCCACCTCTGAGCCCAGGCCTTGAGCTTGCCTTGGGAATCAAATGTTCATCAGCCATGTTCCGTAAACTCAGACACCAGTTCTGGCACATGACCAGGGGAAGGGCAATTAGAATGCCTCGACTGACTGTGGGTCAGATAGACCAAAGGGAACACAGACCGACAACCACATCGGAACCTTTGGCAGAGACCGTATAAAGCAGCAGGGAAAAACAAGCAAAATGAAAAGTCCTAGACCATGGAAAGATGCAGGTCTGAATTATGACTGAACATCTGAGCAGTTGTATGACCTCAGACAAGCTCTTAACCTCTCTAAGCCTCCATTTTCTCATGTCTAAAATGGGGATAATATTACTTATCTCTCAAGTTGTAAGCATTCTGTTAAACCAAATGAGCACAGAACAAGGACTTACTAAATAGTGGTTAATATTAAAGAGAAAAGGGCCTCCTGGGCTCGTGAGACACTCAAAGTCCCAGAGACTTGGCTTTGATATACAGGTAGACAGTAGCATAGTTTAAAAAAACAAAGCAATGACAACAGCAAAAAACAGTAGGGAGAGAGAAGAGACGATTCTGGCAAGGGAATGGCTATTTGGCGTTCTGCCTGGACTGCTTCACACTTAGGTGGCACTCAACATATACTCTTTAGGTAAAAAGAGTTACCTGCAGTGGGTCCCAGATCCAGACTTGAGTCATTCAGCTCCTCCTCCTCTTCCCAGAAGTACTGTGGTGGCTGCAGAATTCGGGACTCTTCACTCTCTTCGCTGGGGAAGCCTGAGCCAGGGGCTCCCAGGCCAGCTCCCAGGCCCATGGCCTCACTAGGTTCCTCTGAGTCCAGTGGCTCCAGGCCAGTAGGCAGCAGGAGGTCCAGTAGGGAGGTGGAGGTGAGGCCCTCTGGGCCAGCCTCATCAGACCCAGCCGCACAAGCACCCAGGGATACTCCTGCATGGACATAAAAGCCAGTCAGGGGAGGCAAGGGAGGACAAAGACTGGCACTGAGTTAGAGCAGTTTCCAATAACAAAGATCTCAGGGGTGGGGCATCTTTAATGGATACTCCTGAACACCCAGAGGCTTCGAGGGGATTCTGAGATGCTGTTTTCATTTCAAAAAGGCCAAATTGCTTAGCCTTTTCTGTGGCAGGGAAAAAGGCAGACAAAGGGAGATGGACAGGAGAGAGTGAGGAATCACTGACTCCTCTACTGGCAACTGTCAGGAGCTTGGGATACAAATATAAGCGAAAACAAGGCTCCTGCTCTTAAGAACCTAGCTTCATACGTGAACAATGTTCCATAGGCTTCTATCCTAAGCTGAAATTTCTCCAAAACTGCATTAAGAACATGATTTTTATTTCAACAGTATAGTACCCTAAACATAGTCTTCAAAAGAATCATATGAGGTCACAAACTCATCTAGTGTAGGTAATGTGACAAATTTGTTTAGAATCTTGGATTCTCTGCACTAATTTATCAAAACAAACAAATAATTGGGCAAGAAAACAACAAGTTAAAGGTGACCCTCTCCCCTTCCTTTAATTCTCATTCACTAAGAACCGGAATATAGCCCTATTTGCCATTTTCACAACTTAATTTTTAATTTAATTAATGACCTAATTACACAAATATTACTAACTTGCCATATGTCTTCTGGGAAATTGCTTAAGACCTCTTGAGTCTCAGCCGCCTCATCGAAAAGACAAGGAAGCTAGATGAAATGACCTCCAAATTATTTTCCAAGACTAACATTCAATAAGGCAGGGAAGAGGGAATTTCAGAGTCTGTCTCCCATTCTATGACAGATACAACTGTGACCTGGCTTGACTGTAGTACATGAAAATTATTAGTAATGTTTATGTCAAAAATAAGAGCTAATATTATTCGTGCTGTGTGTTAAACACTTTGCAAGCAGTAAATGAATTTTAAGCCATACAACCACCTATGAAATAGTAGGCTCTAAGCTTGGTATGTGCCAATACAGTGGCTGGCCACTGAACAAAATGATAACATCTCAGACTGCTATATCAGAAACAGATTGAGTGTCTGGTTGTGAGGGAATCTTTGCCCACTATGCACTAATCAGACAACACAGAGCCAAGAATACCACACCCAGGCACAAGAGAAGCCTTTTGGGGCAGAGTGTCCAGGAGAGGATAAAAGGGCCTTGAACTCAGACACAGAAGAATGTGCTGGTAGAGGGAACCTGGTGCCAGGAAAGCAAGCTTACACTCTGCTTGTCTCAGCTGAGCAACTGTGTAAGTTGCTTCACTACACCAGTCTTAGTTTTCTTATCTGTGTGATAAGGACAGTAATTCCCATAGTGCCCCAGAGTCAAGAGCATCAAATGAGGTAATTTCCAGGCCATATGTGTAAACTGCTCTGCAAAGAGCTTCACAAACCAAAGTATTCTACAAATATAGTGTTACTCTATATAAAAACAGAGACCTGAGAAGTTCATAGCCTGGAAAAAGAGAATGTTTAAAGGAGATAATCGTAGCTTCAAATACGTTAAAATAAAAGGTTGATGTAAATAATAAAGATCAGAGTTATTATACGTGGCTTCAAAGCAAACACTAGGGGTGGAGACACGGGAAGAAAGGCATCAGAACCTTAGTGTTTAACCAGAGCTGGTAATGTCTATGTCAGTCTCTAACCCTAAGATGCTGTAAAAATCTGTTTCTCAATAAGATAATTCACAAGCCCAACACTACACCTTAAAAAGTCCAGTCATAGCTGGGTTCAGTGGCTCAGCCTATAATCCCGCGCCTTTGGGAGGCTGAGGTGAGTGAATTGCCTGAGCCCGTGGGTTTGAGACCCACCTGGGCAACGAGACCTCATCTCTACAATAAATAAAAAAATCAGCCGGGCATGGTAGCGCATGCCTGTAATTCCGGCTACTTGGAAGGCTGAGGTGGAAGGATCGCCGGAGCCCAGCAGGTTGAGGCTGTGGAGGCCGGGAGCGGCCACTGCACTCCAGTCTGGGTGACAGAGTGAGACTCCAACTCAAAAAAAAAAAAAAAAAAAAAGTCCAGTCATAACTAAGGGGAGGGTATGCTGGACCCTACAACACCACTATTCCATGTCTACTATGCTGTCATTGCCCCTGAGGAGCTCCTGGCTTGGAAGGACTGCTCATAGAAAGCTTTCTACTAAGCCCAAACCAGGAAGCCACCACATCCTGTCCAGGACGCCACTTGCTCACCTGGATACCATGTTCAAGGTTAAAGATTCTGTTTTCAGGTAGTCCTTGGCTTCATGAAGCTGAAGCCATGCTCCTGAGGCCTGTGTCTGAATCACTGACGCAAACAGGGATCAGGCACCTCATATTTTGTGGTTTCTTGAAGCCAAAAGTATTTAGAAGCCAGAGAAAGCCAAGGTAATCAATTTGGGGTCCACTTCCCTTTAAGTTCCCTTTTGTTCCTGGAAAAGGATGAATTCAGTATCTTGGATTCTATCTAGCCCAGACCTTCCTATGACCTCTTCTACTCTAATTATCTTTCTCATCATAGGGAGACCCTAAACTATTCTTGTTGGGTTTTTTTTCTAGCCCTAATATTCTGGGGGAAAGTAATATCCATCCCTAGTAGGCAGACATGAAAGAGACATGGCAACATGTCCTGCCACAAAAAATCTACCTTCTTAAGATTCTTTCCTAAGGCACTGTGGTAGAAGGATTGTCCAGTGGTAGTTCCACTAATAACCTATAAGAATACATATCTTTGCAGCCGGGCTCGGTGGCTCAGCCTGTAATCCCACGCTTTGGGAGGCTGAGGTGAGTAGATTGCCTGAGCCTGCGGGTTCGAGACCCGCCTGAGCAACTTGGCGAGACATCATCTCTATAATAAATCAAAAAATCAGCCGGGCATGGTAGCGCGCGCCTCTAGTTCCAGCTACTAGAAGGCTGAGGCAGAAGGATCGCCAGAGCCCAGCAGGTCGAGGCTGCGGTGGCCAGGAGCGGCCACTACACTCCAGTCTGGGCGACAGAGTGAAACTCCAACTCAAAAAAAAAAAACAAAAACAAGAATACATATCTTCGCAATAAAACTTTGTAGGTCCTCCCATCAAGGGATGAAGTCTAAGGCTGGGCGAGGTGACTCATACCTGTAATCTTAGAACTTTGGGAGGCCAAGGTGGGAGGATTGCTTGCTTGAACCCACAAGTTCTAAACCAGCCTAGGCAACACAGTAAGACCTCCATCTCCACAAAAAATTGCCACATGTAATAGTACACATCTGTAGCCCCAGATACTTGGGAGGCTGAGGTGGAAGGATCACCTGAGCCTAGCAGGCAGAAGCTGCAGTGAGTCACGATCATGCCACTACACTCCAGCCTGGGTAACAGAGTGACTCAAAAAGAAAAAAAGAGAGAGATGAAGTCTAATTCCTCAATCCTTGAATTTGAGCTACCTTTGAGAGTTACTATGCCAAGAGAATGCAGAAGTGATGATATGCCATTTCCAAAGCTAGGCCACAAGAGACCTAGCATGCTTCAATTTTCTTAGAACTTCTGCCCAAACTAACCTGCTGGAGAATGGAAGTCCACTTAGAAGAGAGCCATGTCAACTCAGTGTCCCAGCTGAAGGCCCACTGTGAAAGAGGCAGACTAGACCAGCAAAGGTAACTAACAGCTACTGACAAACCTGAAGGAGCTCAGCTGATCCTGGCCTAAAATTCCAGCCCACAGAATCATGAGCTAAATAAATGGTTATTATTTTAAGCCAGTGTATTTCAAATTTGAGCCAGCATGAAATAACTGGTAGGACTGCTAAAAAAAAAGAGATTGTGAAGCCCCCCCATAAAGGTTTGAATCTAGTTGGTCTGTGGTGGGGTCCAAGAATTTGCATTTCTAGCAAATTCCCAGGTTATGCTTCTGGCCCAAGAATCACATCTTGTAAATCACGTTTTAAACCATTAAATTTAGGGGTGATTTGTTACACATAAATAGCCAACTGAAACACTGAGGGAAATTATAAATGAGGTTCTCATTTCAGATCAGAGTAGAGCTTGAATAGTTAAATTCTATTCATTCGGCCAGGCATGGTGGTTACACCTGTAATCCCAGTTCTTTGGGAGGCAAAAGGATTGCCTGAGCCCAGGAGTTTGAGACCAGCCTGGGCAATTTGGCAAGTCTCTACAATAAACAAAAAAATTAGCGAGACGTAGTGGTGCATGCCTGTAGTTCCAGTTACTTGGAAGGCTGAGGCAGAAGGATGGCCTGAACCCAGCAGGTGGAAGTTGCGATGGCCGTGATCATGCCACCGTACTCCAGCCTGGGTGACAGAGTGAGACTCTGACTCAAAAAAACCAAAAAACCATCCAACCATTCATTCACTCATTCAACCAAAAAGTCTTTAATAAATGCTTACTTTGGCTGGGCTTGGTGGCTCAGCCTGTAATCCTGTGCCTTTGGGAGGCTGAGGTGAGTGGATTGCCTGAGCCCGTGGGTTCGAGACCCGCCTGGGCAGTGAGACCTCATCTCTACAATAAATCAAAAACTAGCCAGGCGTGGTAGCGCGCACCTGTAGTTTTAGCTACTCAGAAGGCTGAGGCGGAAGGCTCGCCGGAGCCCAGCAGGTCGAGGCTGCAGTGGCCGGGAGTGACCACTGTACTCCAGTCTGGGCGACAGAGTGAGACTCCGACTCAAAAAAAAAAAATAAATAAAAATAAATAAATAAATAAATGCTTACTTTGGACCAAGCATGATACAAGGTCATGTTGATACAGAAATAAGAAAGATGTGGTCCCCGTCCTCAAAAGGGTCAGTTTCTAGTAGACTAGCAAGAACAAATCCTTATGGAACAGTATAATAGTTTCTATATAACTCTGCTTAGGTCACAGAGTTAGGGGGCAGGGAGAGAGATCTAAAAGGTAGAGTACTAATAGAATTGCTCATAGTACTGTACTGCACGAAAAGAGAAGAATGTTTGAGGAAAAAATGAAGCTGGGGAAGTAGCAAGGGTGAGACAGAACTCAGGAACATTTGTTCAGTTTCTCGTTCTCTAGGGTAGACAGTGATGCTGCTCAAGGGGCACACTGCCTAAATGCCCACACCTCACAATAAGCAAAGCAGCAGAGATGATCCTAGAAACACAGGTATACAGATTTGAAGGAAGACTTCGCAATAATTAGTCCTCATAGAATTTCACAGCTAGAAGAACAGAAGAGCTCTTTTAGAATCCCCTAAAATTTCTTGCTGAGCCCATTTCTCCTCCACACTGCCCTCACAGCAGTGCTTCTCAGACTGACATGTGCGTATGAGTCACCTGAGGCTCCTGATTCAGTAGGTAGGAGTGATGCTGCTGGTCCACTGACCACACTTTGAGTAACAAGGCCTCTTTATGTTTTTGAGTTGGAGTCTCACTCTTGCCCACACTGGTGTGCAGTGGCAGGATCACAGTTCACTGCAGCCTTGACCTCCTGGGTGATGCTTCCGCCTTAGCCTCCTGAGTAGCTGGGACTCACTTTGTAGTGAATAGATGGGGTCTCACTTTGTTGCTCAGGCAGGCCTCAAACTCCTGGGCTAAGCAATCCTTCCACCTCAGCCTTTCAAAGTGCTGGTATTACAGGCATGAGCCACTGCACCCAGCCAACAAAGTATTTTTAAAATGCAAATCTATCATTCCACAGTACAGGCCAAATCCTTTTAAATGGCAGAGTAGTCCTTTCGAAAACTGACACACCTCTTCTCCACTCTCCTCAGTCACCCACCACTTCCTATTCATATACTCCATGCTTCAGACAAACTGAACTACCAGCAATTTCCAGAACACAACAACCTCTTTTGCCTTCTGGGTCTTTGCACATGCTATTCCTTCTGCTTGAATAGTTATATCTCCCCTTCTCTCCCCTGTTCCACCATCCACCTGCCTAACTCTTGTTCCTGTCTTGCTTTCTGAGATGCTTTCCCTGAATACTGTGGGCAAAGTACTACTTCTGTTATCATAGCCTTCTGAACAAATTGCTGTCACTATACTTTTCTCACCAAATTGTAATAAACCTTCATATAATCTCCATCATAAGTGGTGAGTTCATTCTATCAATTTAACCCTGGAATTTCAATGCCTAGCACAGTCTCTGAGACATAAAAGAAGCTCAATAAAGATTTGAATAAATAAATAATAATCTAGTCCAACTGTCTTGTTTTACAAACAAAATAACTGAGGCCTTTTGGGTTTAAGGTCAAACAGCTAGTTACCAGAAGGGCTATAATTAACTTGCTTCTCCTCACACAAAAAAAGTCTCATGAATGTTCCATGAAGGAAGAATGGAAGCTGTTACTTGCTGGGCTGGGTACCCTTTCTCCAAAGGAAATGTAAAGGAAAAGAATATCTAAAACAGCTTAAATATTTCATGGGCCTCAAGGGTCAAGGAAAGAAGCCAGAGCTAAAAACTAGAAGACACTTCTATCCTTCTAATACTCTGCCCGGGGTCCCCACAGCCAGTCCAAATAAGTGAAGGAATCTCTCCTTTTGCAAAAGACCAAGTCAATAAAGTGGCTCCCAATATTTTCACCACTAAGAATTCCTATATTTAGATTCCTATGTGCACCCTATGTTTAAAAATATTTTATCACAAACTGCACTTATTTAATAGCTATTTTCTAATTTTTAAAAAGGGAATTAGAATCATATAATACTGCCAATCAGATATGATGCCAATTAGAATGGAACTTTGTTTTTAGGTGGACTGTGCTGTCTTGCTGGAGGTAAAATTTGTGTTAGACTGCCAGTTACACAGAAAAATATGGTCACTCTCGAGCTCCTATTCTGTGCCAAACAGTGTGCCAGGCCCTCCCTGGAGATACAAAGATGAACAAGAGACAACCTCTGCCTCAGGAAAATTACCATCTTTTGGAAAATGGAACTTAAGTGCTATATGAGATACCAGCAGACATAACAGCCCTACTTTGCACAAGCAGCATCCCCAGAGTTAGGGAATGCGGTTGACAAGGAACCAAAATATAAGAAACTAATCTGGAAAAACACATTCATGCAGTCTGGGAATTAAAAAAGTCAACTGAAGAAAAATTTTTGTAATAACTAAGTAACACACATTGTATAGGTTCCCAGGGTGCCTGAGCAGCCACTCTGAGAGAGTCATGAGGTGGATGGACATCTTCAGACACATGCTCCAGCCTCTAGCAGGTATGTTGGGAAAGACATTACTTTAAGCCTTGCTAGAAAAGGCAAACTGATTTTCCCTAAGAATCTTGAAATTCGCCCTCCATAAAACCACTGAAGGACCTAACATGCACTGCCCCTTCAAAGCTCCAGAGCTGTCTCAGAGCTGAACGATAGCATGGAGGGGAGAAGCTGCTGCCATCTCGGCCTTGATCCGGCTCCCCAGAACTGCTTGGAACTCAAACGACTTCCGCCCTCTCTAAGTAAATCTGACCAGAGGAGTCCTGTTTTCTTCCCAACTCTAGGGAATAAAAGGCTTTTATTCAAGCAAGCTCTTTGTGCAGAGGACTGGGGCTTGATGTGTTTATTGTGTTTAATCCCTGTCATCTCTATGACCTGGGCGTGTTCCTCCAATCTCTGAACCTCTTCTGCCTGTCAAGCCAGGAAGTCAGTCTTCTAGTATCTCTCCCTTGTCCCCTTTGTCTTCTTTCCTGACGATCTGATAGAAATTAGCAAAGATTTTGAAAACCCTGCTGAAAAAAGGGAATCTGGTATTTCATTCCTTCAAACAGTTCAATTTTCTTCAAGTTATTTATTCCCTGATTTATTTATTCAAGTTATTTTTCCCTGATTATTCTGTCTTTATGTAGACCTCAATATTTTCAAGGGCCTTGGCAATGTGTAATCATTTAAGTAATTACAAGAGGTTACTTCTTTTGAAACTTGCTCACCATAAGAGGACGCTAACACGATAGCTGAGACTTCAATCATTCTGTGTGTAATTACTTGTGTGCTTAAAAGTACCTTGATGGGGTCTCTGCCATAATTTCAGAATTATATTCTTTTATGTGACTGAGTCCCTTTTTTTTCTCTAGCACCCATCGTTTTCTGTTACTTCATCATTCCCCTCAGGGAAGGAGAGAGGAAGAGGTAGCGTATGAAAAGGATTAGGAAATCTGCCTCAAATAGTTGAAAATCTGGCCCAAACAAACTCAAAAAGAGGCAAATGAAGCACACTGACATTTTGAGGGGTGAAAAAACAAGGACCCAGTAATCCTCAAGTTCCATCTCGCCTTTCCAAATCAGCCCCTGAAATTTGCTCCTGATGTAAGCCTCTTGTTCTAATTTCCACCACCAACTACATCCCACCTTTCCCCCAAGCAGCAGCTTTGAAGTCCAGATCTCCCTAAGCCCTTGGCAGACACCAATATGGGTGGTGCCCAGCAGCATCTGTCACACAGCCCCCACGTCTTTGAGTACCAGCTACAACAGAGACTGCCTAACGCTATCAGCCTACTGTCTGAGAAACGGTGCTGAAGGGTTCCTGTAGGGTTTCCACACAAAGGTGTTTGAGAAGGAGACACACTGCTAGACACATGCACATGCCCTCCAAGCACAGAGGTTAAAGAATGCATCCTGAGGAGCGTATGTTGGAGAGGAGAGCAGGGAGGAAGCTGCTGACAGCAGTCCATGGCTGTTCACATACAGAGATGGGCAGTTAGAGTTAGGCCTGGGTCCTGACAGACCCCGCTCGCCAATTCTGGTTTGTTGACTGTCACATGAAGAAACAGCAGACCAATCAGCTTATTTGTTGAACGTCACCTTCTTTCAAAGAGGACTTAAGGTATGCAGGTGTGGTCTGTGAGTGTCTGAGATAAATACTGATGGAGATTTTTTGAGGGGTATACCACTGAGGGCCTTTGCCCATCCCTAGATTGTCAGTGGAGAAAAAGCATCCTCCCTAAAGTAATCCTTCCCAGGACACACACAAGGGTGTGGGCCCCAACTTTCCTCTCCCGGCCATTTTCCCTGGGATTCTGTCACTCTGAGCCCCAAGGCAATGGTCCATCTCACTGCGACATCAAGCAACACTGCCTCTCCCCTCCCACAGAGACCTTTCACAAGTATCTCTGTCATACACATACACACACACACACACACACACACACACACACACACACACACATCTACACACAATGTGGCTGTCCTGCATCCATGTCCACACACCCATACTCAGCCCTGCCTCTCCTGCAGCACCTTGACAGGCACCCGTGACACACTCCCTCGTGTGGCACACACCCCTTTGCTGCGCCAGCCATGTGGAAAGCTGCTGGGCATGACCTCATCTGACCCAGACAGACCCTCTCTGTGCTGACAGCCCCTTTCCCCCGCCCATTTCTGTAGCGGTGGCCTGCCTCATGGGCTGTCACACCCCCAAATCCCGGGTCTGCCACTAGGCAACTGTGCAGGAGGGCCTCTCTCTCTCACATGACACACGCATTTCACACCTGCCCCACCCCCATCTCGGACCACACACATCCCGAGCCCTGGTGGCTGCTGAATGGAAGCACACACCCGAGTCTCACACACGTCCCGGTGTCGGCCGCGGGAGCATCCAGCCGTCGCTGTAGAGACCTCCCATGGCTGCTCTGCCTGCCCCCTTTTGTCAGCTCCTGATGGAGCGCAGGCGAGGATGTACATTCAAAGTCGTGCGCGCGCGCGCGCGCACACACACACACACACACACACACACTCTTCCCGGCAACGCCACACACGTACACACCCCCTGTGTGCGGGCCCTTTGGCGGTCCCCTCCCCGCCAGGCACCCCTCCCCGCACCCTGCCGGGGGCCCCACGGGGCCTGAACAACGCGGCCCCTCCATCCTCGAACGCTGCTACACACGCTCCCTCCCTCCCCAGTGGGCGCGGGCACGCGCGCACACACACACCCCTCCTGGCACGCACTTGTCACTTCGCGCGGCGCCGCAGGGGAGGGAGTCCTCCGCGGGGTCTGTCCCAGATTCACACACACACCCACGGCGCGCGTCCCGTGCACACTCACACGACGCCGCGCCGGGGCACAGAGCCGCAGCTGGGGTGTCGCCCCCACACCCCCGACCCCGCGCCTGTGCGCAGCAGCCGGGCCGTGA